TATTTTTTTTAGAAATTTCTACATAAATTTTTTCATAAAATATAAAAGTATTTTTTTTATAAATTTAAAATATAAAATATTCTAAAGATCATATTTTTATAAGATAGAGAAGTTTTTCGGTGGAAATTTGAGAAGTTATTTACGTGTTTAATGTAAAACTGTAATTTTTAATACTCTCTGAAATATGATTTATTAGCCATAAAGTTCCTTAAATATTAACAATATTATTACGCACTTAAAATTATCTACTAAATACTAAAAATTATTTAAAGTAAGATATGGTCATAATATTATTCAAATGTACATTCTTAAGTCAAATGTACATTCTTAATACATTCTTAAGTTCTTAAGTTAATTCTTTAAGCACTTGCAATGAATAGTTATAAAATAGTTATTAAAAAAAAGAAAGAAAATAGTATACATTTGACAACAATTCATATTTTCGTGCAACTGGAATATACAAATACCACAGACTATTATTGGCCGGTTAAACAATCATGCATAATTGGTACAATTATACATAATAAATAAAATTATTTTTCCTTATCATTAGAAAATTATATGTTAGCAATCGCGGTACATGATACAAACGCGATACATGATAATGCCTTAAAACTATTTTTTTATCGTCTTACGTTGCTAAATATTGTCAAGATTGTTTAAGAGGTAGATTCCCTTTAAATCGACGTCTACAAAAATTATGCATATAAAGGAACTAGTTCAAAGTTCAAAGAAATATCTCACTGCCAAATTTTTACATAAAATACTCTTTTAGATATTTCTATTTCTACACAGTACTAACTGGCAGTGCCAGAATGCAGCATGAAAAACATAATATTCATGTTGCAATTCAACATACAATTCAACTTAATTTATGTACTAAAATAAAGTTATCTAAAAAAAATAATAAACTGCAAATAAGTCATTCGCACAAGTACCAACAAAGCATTTTATTCTTATCCTTAAATCATAGATTGCTAACTAGCTTTTGTCTAAAATTGCTGGAATTATTTAGGTCTCACGAGATGATAAAAATATTTTTATTTTCTTTCTTCCCTCTCTTGTGACTTAAACAATTTTTTTCGATTGTAAGTATGGAGTATTTATAATAGCTAGCTAAGATTGCAATCAAACTATTAAAGTTTTGTACAGATTTTATCAGCGGCATCGTCTTTCTTATAAATTATGTCGTTAAGAGAATATTTTCTGCTTAATGAAGAATTTCTTTCATTCTCTACATCCATGCATCGCCTATAACGTATACGCCGCGCTAACATGGGAAAGAATAAATTAGTATCTAATTCATCGTTTTGTTTTTTGAAGAACAAACGAGATATGTTACTAATAACCAGTCCAAGCATAAATGTTATTAAGAATCCAAGGGGTGAATACCACATGTACGAAATACGATACAGATAGAAATATGAACTGTCGCCGGTGCTTCTGGAAAAAAATATGACAATACGTTAAACGATCTTGTATACGTAATGTACATAAAAAACAAATAGTTTTGCTCAAGAGTATAAAAAATGAAACATACATAGTATATATATAT